CAAACTCATCTTATATATATATATATATATATATATATATATTGTAAAGATAAAAAAGATTACAAAGATGGTTGCAGTGAGGATTGAACCTAGGTTTTCATACTTCTAACTAAGCTAACTCTAGTGGTTATATATATATATAATCACTTTCAATGCATCTATTATTTATTTGAGAATGTTTGTATTATTGTAAAATTATATGATAATTCACATAAAGTTATGTTATCATGTGATTTTTAATTATTTGTTAGAACATCTTCAATGGGGTTGATGTGACAATAATGTGGTACAGGAGGTTGCTTATAAGCAACCTTCACTAGAAATGCTCTTACAGTCTTATAGGCATTACGAGATTTTTTTTATAAAAAAAAATCATTACATACATTACGAGAAACATAAGAATTTTAACATTAGGTCAAATGTTCCTAAGGTTTTGTTCCCACGGAAAATCAGTCATGCACCAAGTTGGTGAATAGTTTATAATTTATGATCTACAATTGGAATTTCTAATATTGACCATTGAACATTACTATGGTACTATAACGTACGAATATGCTACGGTCTACGGCATCTTTGACCTGTATCCTTTTTATGTAAATATGGAAGGTTTGAACTTTTAATTACTTCAATTTGCTAAAAGTTGAAATTATTCAATGTTTTCTCTCACTATGTTTAGTTACACAACACACAACTTTCCGTTCTTGTAACAAAACAAGTAAGAAAACTGTCTCAAAGCAACTGTTGGATCTTTTACTCCTGTTTGCAAGTGATTTCTTGTATGAGTTTGCCTTATTACTCATCATTGCATATGATTATGAGTATATGACTTGGGGTTACACAATTCTTTTTTTAGCATGACCAAAATCCTATTTCAACTCTATCCAATCCAATGTCACAAATCACTTTTATTATTAAACAAAATGATATAATTATCATATACCCATCATTGCTCAACTTTGAATACTAAAAACATGATATTATCAATCCTTTTATATTCTCCTACAAGGACTAAATAATAATTTAGGTTTAGGTCAAAATAATAGTTATTATAATTAACAAGTATCCTTTTTAAATATGTGGTCATGGTAAAGGGAAATAAGTTTGAACACAAGAAGATGCTCTCTCTCTCCCACTAATGTGAAATTGAAATTTGCATGAGAAGTCTCTGCCGTGTACCAAAAGCAAATGACATAGAACTTTGCAAGTGGAAGAAAGTACAGATTAGTTCATCTATAAAGGGACGGAGCCAGGATTTCAATACTGGGGGTGCCATATAGGGAGTGCCATATAGTAATATACATATGAGTTTATATTAAAAATATGAGTTTATATTAAAAATAGAGGGTGCCATATAGTAATATATATGTATATAAAAAAAATTAAAATTGTTGGGGGGGCCGTGGCACCCGTAGGTCCCCCCTTGGCTCCGTCCTTGTCTATACTCCAAGTCATTTCAAATGCACAAATTAATTATCTTTTCTAGATGTTCACTTGTTCTTACTTCTTGTTTTTAATTATTTGAGACTTTATCACTGGGTAAAACTCTGCATTCGTATAAGAGAAAAATAATAAGAAATATTCTTTTAGATTTATTCTCTCTTATTGGTACGGAAGATTGCGTATTGTGAGTACTCTATATTAGAAATGAAATTGATCATCACATTGAAATTGAGACCAATGTTAATTTATAAATCTCCTTTTTGTTTTTTTTAAATCATTGAGGTATCTTTTAATGACAAAAGATTTGTTTAAATAAATTTTTTAAAATCACCATCAGATGAAAAAATAATTTTTTTTCTATAACTAAAATTAATTTATATATAACTTAAAATCATGTTTATAGAGATATTAATACGAGATAATTTCTACAAATTAACTAATAAAAAAGATTATATTATTTTTTTTACAAGTATTTTTGGATAAATTTATTTAAATAGTACAAAAATGTGTCAATCCACTTAACCTCAAAATAGATAATACTTTGGTTAAAGTCCTTATTTGGTTCTTGATAACATTTTTTTGTCTCAATTTAGTCATACTTTAATTTTTTGTTTTAATTTGGTCTCCAATAATTTAAATTATTACAATTTGGGACTTCCGTCCAAATGATTTAAACGGAGTTAACTGTTGGCCACGTGGATGCCAGGTGGATGTCACGTAATGCCAAATTTCTTGAATACACCTGGAACCAGAATGGTCCGTTCTGGTTGCACTGTTGGTTTGTTAATTTTGTACTTGGAACGGGCTGTTCCAGGTACAAAATTAACACACCAATATTGTAACCAGAACGAGCCGTTCTAGTTCTAGAACGGGTCGTTCTGGTTCTAGAACGAGCCGTTCTGGTTTCAGAACTGTGCACGAAAAAAGACCCAAGGTACAAAGCATTTGGAACAGCCTGTTCTGGTTTCAGAACGGCCCATTCTGGTGCACTCATGGTGTGTTAAATTTGCATTTGGAACGACCCGTTCCAGTTGCAAAATTAACACATAACATGTACAAGCAAAACAACCCGTTCTGGTTTCATGTGTATTCATGAAATTTGGCGGCCACGTATGCATCTACGTGGCATCCACTTGACATCCACGTGGCCAACAATTAACTCCGTTTAAATCATTTGGACGGAAGTCCCAAATTGCAATAATTTAAATTATTAGGGACCAAATTGAAACAAAAAATTAAAATGGGACTAAATTGAAACAAAAAAATATTATAAAGGACCAAATAAGGGTTTTAACCTAAAACTTTTGATGTAAGTTACACAAAACATCAAGGGGACATTTGGTAAGTAGAATGCTTTTACATTTCTGGGAATCAAATCTAATTTCTTATGGCTGTAGCTATTTTTTTTTAAAAAAAAATTCTCAGAAATGTAGTTTTTCAAAAAAAATTATCCTATTTTTTTACAAAAATATTTCAGAGGGGTGAAACTTGAGTTAGATTGAAAGTTTTTTTTTTTTTTTGTAAAGATAGAAAATATTATAAAGATGATTGAATTTATGTTCTCATGCTTCTAACTACCCTAATCCCTTCCTACCTAATCACTAGGCTAACCCTAGTGGTCTGTTAGATTGAAAGTTTAATGCATATAAAAAGATTACAACATCTTTTTAAAATAGAAAAATCTCTCTCTTTCCCTCTCCTTTCTCTCTCTCTCTCTCACTCTCACCCCCCTGTTCATCTCTCTCTCGCTCACTCTCACTCCCTATCTCTTCCTCTCTTTTTCACTCTTCCTCTCCCTCTTCATTTCTCTCTCTCCCTTCCATGTCTTTATTTCTCTCTCTCTCTTTTTCGTATTTTATTATTTATTAACCTTGTTAATTTTAATAATTATTTTATTTCTATATTTTAATAGTATTTGTTAAAAAAATTTAATTTATTTATTCATTTATTTGAATAAAATAAAAAATATATTTTTATCCTTCTTAATTATTGTATAATATTTTTTTTGTTTATTTTTTTATTGAATTTTGTATTTAAATAATTTTAACAATAAGTTTTCAACTTTTTAAAATAATTTAATGTTATATTTGTAATAAGATTTGAGTAAATAAATATATTCAATGAATTTATTTTAATAAAGAATATTTTTATAAAAAATATTTACATTTTTATAATCAAACATAAAAATATTTAATTCTTAAAAATTTTATATAAATATTTTTAAGAACCTGAATCTGATTTTCAGGATTTGAAATTTCTAGAAAAAACTTCCCCCTATTAAATATCTCCTAAAAGCTATTATAAGATATTGAAAGAATTTATTTAGAAAATAAAAAAAAAAAAAGTCCTAGTTTTATTTTATTATCTCCGTGCAATTGCAGGTACTAATTTGATTAACAATATTAAATGGGAGTCTAATGTGTAACTCATGGACATTCAATGCAGGGTGAAGGAGGCTTCATATCTGGAAAACGACACTGAAAATAAATATAAAACAAATATATTATCACAACTTTCGCAATAAATGAGCTTCTCACGTTTTGCTTAATTATAAACAATTAAGTCAAATAACTATCACTAGATAACTTTATCGGTAATCGTTATCAAATAAATGTCTAAGATGATATTTTATAAAAATTATTTTTATAAAATTATTTCACACACAATTCTACAATAATAAGATATTGTTCATTTTAAAATTAAATTTTTATAATTTTAATTTTAAAGATCACCTAAAAGATTTTACAATCATTAGAATATATTATTTATTCGTAGGATTTGTTTTATCCCAATATTTCTTCTTAATGTAGTAAATTTGCAATACTCTTACAGTTCCCACTCTATTTTTGTTTTCTTTCTGATATTTAATTTTCAATACATAATACATGAATATTAAAAGGAAATTAATCCTCCCACTTTGAGAGAAAAAAAAAAAAGATTTCAAC